CTTGAGGCCAGGAGCATTTGAATATATATCTATACATATCTATACACACCTACAATATAGAGTTACATAGGGATTTTAAAGGAACATGGAAACTACTATTTAGGGTTTAGGGTTATATGAGGCTGCCGTGAAAATGATTGTGCCAGAAAAGCTGCTATGACAGTCTAAATCATCTTAGTACCAACAGCAAGATGAGTGGCAATTGTTTCGATATCAACATAGATGGATGTTGCTACCACCGCCATTGCTACTAGTATCTCTGCTGCTAATTTCTTCTGCTATTACCATTAATTTGCACTATGGCTATTGTTACTATTGCTATTGCTATTGTTGTTAGTTCTTACTATGACTACAGTAATCCTGAGCCAACCTTGTGGTACATGCAGTCTCAGGATCACATCAAGTCTGAACCTCAAGGGAGGAAGGTAGCTGACAGTTTCTTGACATCGTGGGTGTGCGCACATACTTCCCGTTACAAACCTACGCGCCTGGAGCCGTGCATCTTCGGGTGCACTAGGCGCACCTGGGCAGTTTTTGCCAAGGAATTGTCGGTGGCAGCCTCTTCAATGTCCTCGTGCACCAGCATGCTTCTCAGGCTTCTCAGTGCCAAGGACGGCAGCCTCTGCACGCACGTTTTCTTGTTGCTCTCACGGCTAAGGTCTGTGATTGGCAAGGGTGTGAGGATGAGCTACAGGACATGTCTGGCGGCTGGCGCAGTGCTGTCGGGGACGGACGGAAAAGCTCTCTTCCTTAAGGACCATTTGCACGAATGCCCCGCGCAACAGATTCCATGCCGGCACTGTGGCTTTCCTATTTGCCTCGTGAGCTTCTGGTGACCTCTGGTGCCTTGCCTTTCAGAAGCTCAGGTCATCTGGGGTGCTGGTGGGTGGGCCCTGCCAAGGCAGGGTTTGGAGTCTTCTGGCTACCGGTACCATGGTTAATACCCAGAAATCCTGTATGATCTTAGTCTACTGTACTTTAACCCCAATATATGCCTCATTATACTATTGTCCTTGCCATTGTCTTTTAACATGATCGCGACTGTAACAGATTGTTGTGCCCAGAATTACCAATATATGATTTCAGAATGGCCAGGCGGAGGCTGCGCACCTAGCTGAGGAGTGTGGGGTCCTTGGGCTTGGCTGATTGAGATATAGGGGTTACAGCAGGGATAATGGAAAAGAACATGGAAACTCTTATGGTATAGGCTTTAGGGTTTAGGGTTGGGGTTTCAGTACGGATAATGGAGATGAAAATGGAAACTGCAGGGATTATGGAGATTATGTAAGGGTTATACAAGGATTGTAGGGGATGTATTGGGGTTACAGTGGGGATAGGGTTATATAGGGATAATGGAAAAGAAGCTGGAAAATGCCATGGTATAATAAGGCATATATTGGGGCTACAGTGGGGATAATGGAAAAATAAACCGAAATGACTGCAGTGTAATATGGCATAAATTGGGGTTACAGTAGGGAATATGGGAACATATTCTATTGGGTCGTACTCGTAATCCCGTCAAAGAAACAGCAACCTGCTATCCCGAGCTCTGCAGTACTTGAGGCGCTCCACTAGAATGCTTACCTATCAAAAAATCGGCTCCCACAGCATAAGTACTAATGATCTTAAACGGGAAGTCCTCAGACTCTTCGGTGTTGCGACCGCGCCTTAAGCAGCTGAGGTGATGTTCAGCGGCTTCTGAACATAGTTGGCCCTCTGAACGAGCTCTTGAGCGAAGCCTGCAAGGATCTGAGAATGTATTAATCACCAGATAGTACTCCTTGGGGGTTCCCGTAGAACGATTACAATACTGAGGGGTCTATGTTGGGATCTCCCTTTCTAGGGAAACTACCACACATCATAGTCATACTGTTTCTGCGTATGGTGAGTTAGTCACGTAGCGTTACCTTGATGGCTACGCCATCCCTAGCATGGTCACTACCATGATTGTGTAAATGGAAATGATTACGTGGAGATTGATTTGACACCCCAAACCTCAAACCCTTAACCCCAAACCCTAAACCCTAAACCCTAAGCCCTAAACCCCAAACCCTACGCCCCAAGAGGGTTTGAATCCCTCAGGCCCGGATTACCGCAACCCGGAGGTTCTCCGCCTGCAGGCTGCGACTTGCCGTCTGCTTGGTCTTACATAGCTCATTGTCATGACGACCATGGCTATACAGGGATTATTGGGATAATGGAAAAGAAAATGGAAACTACAGGGATTATATAGGGGTTATATTGGGGTTATATTATGGCCATCGGTATGTTTACATCCTACAGCTTCTTTCTTAACTCTATTATACTTCTAGTGCTGCTATGCGCATGAACTTACTGGTGGTTAGTAGGGAACAAAGGAATATGATCCCCATGTAAAACATTCCCTCCTTTCTATAGCCCCAATATATACTATTGCAGTTTCTCTTCTATTTTCTTTCCATTATCCCTAGATGACCCCAATGTGTTCCCTTATTCCCTACTAATCCCTATAAGATGAAGGCTACTACTGCTATTTGCTATCGCACACTGGGTGCTGCGTCTCTTACCCGACACCAGGCGGCGGCTGCTGCTTACCGGAGATCCGCCCGGAGCCTACAGCAGTCATAGGGTTTATTGTTTAGCGTGTAGGGTTTGGGATTCTGCTGAGCTTCCAAGATCTCTGAGCTGTTGCCACGCTAGCAATATGCAAGTTTCAGCAAGGGTCTGGATCAGGATGTCAGATATGCTTTTCAGTTGGATGTGTAACTTCGGTGACGCATTCTATGCTCGGTGCAAGTACCGAGGTATTGATTTGGTAGCTTCCATAAAGAGCCAAACTCCAATATAGACTCCGAAGCACTACAATCCTATGATGAGGATGCTAAGCCAAGTGGACCCCCAAGCCTGGAAAGCCCAGCAGCAGTCTTCAGATGTAAGATCAGTATGGCTGTCTTCTTTTACCGTTCAACAAGGGTTGAACTGCTAGAACCGTTAGGACAAGTACTACTGGTATGGTATCGTTGCTGCTGCTGCGGCGTCGTAGTTTACTTCACGTTGGCTCTCTTTTCGTCTTTGCGCTCGGTTCTGTCCAGAGCGGTTTCATCGTTGCACGTCACGGAGTGGCAAAGCAGGAATTGGATAAAGTGATTCGCACGAGACGGCATTGGAGGTCTTTTGGGCTTTGGGTCTGCGCCAAGGTTTTCAGCCCTGGAGCGCCGTGGAAGGAGCGTCAGCCTGAGACGATTTGGATTTGGGAGTGATTCCATCATATTCACTGTTGAAGCTCGTTCTGATCTCGGTTTTTTTGCAAAGTTCCTTGGTTTGTGGAACCACCTGCGAAATCTGGTTGAAACCAGCTGGTCGCTGAATTTGGAGCTTTTGGGGTCTTTCTTGATTTCACACAGTAATTTGACTTTGGACGCTTGAGGGTGTCTTGCAATTTTTGGTGCACCTTGTTAGAGCGGCTGCAGGTGGAAGACGCCTGGGCGATGCTTCTCCTGCCGGAAGCCGGTCGAGCGGAGGGAGCAAGGATCCGTAAGCAAGGGGCAGCCTTTCCCGAGCATTCTGATCGAGGGTTGGCTTAGGCTCACATGCATGCCCGGCAGGCGTTTGCAGCCATCTGTTTTTTCGGGCACTATCGGAAGGATTGCAGAGCGATCGTGGTGAGCAGCGGCTGTGCTGGTCATGCTTGTTGGGGACCCGGTGACTCCATGTGATAAACCCGCTCAGGGCATGATCTGCAGCTATCCAGCATGAAGCACATAGACTTACAACCAAAATCATTCTACGCTGCGCTGAGCTCGTTCTGAGGCCGAAGCATGTGGATTTCCAACACTTCAGGACCAGTGGCTGATGGCACTGTGAAACTAGAGGGGCAAGCTGTTAGCATGTAAGGGGAGCTCATGTTGTGCATAGCAGGTTCCGCAAGGGAAGTAGGAGAATAAGCAGTTCCAGAAATCGAAGACCTTGCATTCGGGAACCGAATGCGTGAAGGTGGATGCGGGCCCGTTTCACAGGCGGTCAAGACGGCTTGCCTGCGACCGGGTGTCCGTCGGGTGTAAGCCCAAGACAAAACAAGATGAGCCTGTCTGAAGCCTGTCCGCTTGAGGGAGACCTGAAAGGAATGACATGCTAAACCCAGAACTCCTCAATATTGCCTTCAAGCGGCGCAGGTTGACTTGCCCCTATCCTGCTTGAGATGAGCCGCCAGTCATCGCTGCCTTTCAGCCGCCCCAAGTCAACTTTAGCTTGTTTGCCGCTTCTGCTTGTCAAGTTTGCGGCCTTGCCGGCCGGGGCCTTTGTCTTCTGCTTGGCAGTCACTCTCTAGGGCGCAAGTATAGGAAGCTAGCTACTGTTGCCATGACCAGGACTAAACCAAAGGCTTCATCAGCCTTTTAAGGGATCTGAAGGGCAGGCTTCATAGACGATGGTTACCATCATGATATACTGATCGACGGGACATAGCATAGCACCATCATCCAGACAATGCTTCACGTAGTCAGTGGTACATCATCCACAGAAACCTTGTGCTGATGACCACCTGCAGCTTGGTGCATTCTTGCATTCTAGCATTGTTTGTGGGCGGGTGAGCCCCACCTTGTGCAAGAAGTGCAGACAGAATGGCACGGGGACTGGCAGCAGGGGGTTCTAGGTTTTCGGGAGGTGCCTGAAGCTGATCCATGGATGCAGCGGACAGCTCCACCACATGAAGCAGTCGCACCTGGCCCTAATGTGGCAGAGCAAGCGCGGCTCAACGACCCTGCTGGGTATCCCTCGGACTTGCCTGAAGACTGAAGACCCAACCCATGCGTGGATATGGGGATGGGGTTAGGCGGATGCTTACAGCAATACAACAGTGTTCCTACTACTGCCAGCTTCATATCAATTTGTGGGATTTTGATAAGATAATGGGGCCTGCGCTGGAATGTGGAGTAGGAGCCCGCATTGCTAAACACGATCCAGATCCGGCCTGTCGGTGCTAACCTTTCTTAAGGCTTCCGTGGTCTGGCATCGGCCGGGGGATGCCACGGCCCCGCTCTCAGTTAGCATCTGAGTTCAGGCTTGAAGTACGTGTAGGAGTTCTGGAGTTGGCCAATCCAAACCTTGCCACGAAAGCCTGCATGGCAGCTTTCTCGCATTAAATTGCCGCTTTATCGTTTCACAATGACTTATGCGCAATGCATCAGGTGTTGTCCTTCTCAGCCGGTCATTGATACTCTGTGCCCTGTGATATGTGGGGTTACGCAAAGAACCCCAACCCATCACGCGGTCTTGCAAAGAGAAATGTTGCGGAAACTGCATTCCTCTCAGCAAAGACGATCCGCGCATGTCCATCCATTTCTTCGGTTCTCCACAATCCTCTGATGACATGCCATGTTCGCACTGAGAGTTTGTTGCATCGTGCTATATTTGCTTTTGAGCTACAGTACCGCTTCGCTGGAATGATACTTGCAATCTACGTGCAATTGAGGAACCAGACCTTCTGCCCCATCAGTGACGAAAATCTTGCAGAAGTTCTTTGCGTGTGGCCGGCTTGCTTACAAAGCAAAGCTTGGCTTGTGGGACTTGGGCTCACCTACGCGATTCTGAAGCGCAGGAAGACTGTTTATCTGGCAGCTTTGGCCTAGCAGGCTGTGGACGAAGACTGCGTTTGCGCGAACTCTTCGCACATCCGAGAGCTTGCGTCTACCTCGGCGTTGCTTTCTCCGAAGAGTGCCACCCGGAGAAGAGCAAGACTTGAGGCAAACGTAACCGTGGATGGCTTGGCCTGCTATGCATGCGAGCCGCGCAGGCCACTTGAACTCGACCGGGTTTTCAGGGTTCGTCATTGCACCCATCCGTCATAGGAAAGAGCCCTGCCAACAAACACCTCACTGAGGCCACCCGCTTGCACGGAGGCAGGGGCCCATCAGGCTCTGCAACGCCTGTGCTGAAGGAAAGATCTCTGCTGACAGGCTAACGACCAATGCACGCCTGAGGCGTGTGAATGCGGGAATCCTTTGACCCATGCCGGCCCGCCCTGTTTTTTACTTAAAGATAGTTTACATCTCTTGGGATGCCAGGTAAAAAGGGATGCCACCACTGTAGATGGCAGTCCATGCCACTACTGCTGCGCCCTTAGATGCCCTTAGCATTAGATGCCCTTAGCAAGCTGCTGTGCGATACTCAGCTTTTCCTTCAAACAAACAATTTTGGTGAGGCGAGCCAATTGGCGGAATGGGCAGTATTGGGCGGCACCTTGCCAGCAGGGACAGGTTGTAGAAAACGGACTTGATGCTGCTTGGCCTTGGCATGCGCGGGTGAGGCCTGAGTTCTTCATTGTGGTGATGCTGCTGGCTTTGGTGGTCATGTGGCAACTTTTGGGAAGGTCTACCTGTCCTGCTTTCAGCATGTGCCCCGCATGCTACCATAGGGTCCGGTGATGAAGTCTGAAGCCGTTTAAAGCCTGCTGCTGAATTTTGGGATCCTGAGCCAAGACCTAAAGCATTGTGGCTGCCACGGGCCAGGAAGCCCGTCCCGGGAAAAAGCAGTTTGCGGCTCTCGCGACGGCAGGCAGCAGCTTTCTGGCGCTTTTTGTGGCTTTGTTAGCTTCTGCCTTGCTGAGGGTGATCGGAACCGAGCCATAAAAGTACAGCAAGAGCCGCTGCGATTCTATGAAGAGGCACGCTACTGTTCAGCGAACTCCTTGCACTTCGGCCGCTTTGAGTAAGGTGTTGTTCATGATCGGAGACTTCTTCGACTTCCTAGCCCTGAGCTCTGCAGCACTGTAAAGTGCACTTGCTTTCGGCATTAGCTCAGGTGGATGGTGCCTGGGAGATCCTGGCCATGGAGCAGACCTCAGTTTATGCTCATGTGATGCGATTGGCTCAATGCAGAAAGAACTTTGAGCAAGGCCTGGAACCTTCTTCAGCGCATCGCAGCCTGCCTCAGCAGCGTGCGGCACTCGTGAAATCCCGTGTTCTGAACGCCATGCCTGCTGCATCCGGCAGGCCTCTCCCATGAAGACTGTGAACGCCGTCAGAGCGTCATCCTGGCGCATTGTGCTAGAGAGTGCCTTTTGCCTGAGCTGGGCACAGCTCTTTGTGCCAGGTTTATCCGTCCAGTAAAGGACGACTTGGACTGGGAGCATACAGAAACAGAGGCCAAGCGCCTGCGGAGAAGATCAGAGGCCATATCGCAAATATCGCAAATGCTGCTCGTTTTTGATTGCAACGGTGGACCAGGCGACTGCAGACGCTGCAGGCCGTTTGCATGTTTGTTTCGTTTGACAAGCTCAGCTTCCATGCGCCGCTATCAGCCACAGCGACAAGGTCCTGTACAGAGAGCATCCGCTCAGAAGGCGCAAGCACGGCCTGACGCCAAGGCGACAAATTGCCCCGTTGCCAGAAACTGTGCCTGTGCAGCCGTATCACCTTCAGTGGGAGAGTCATTGGCTATCAGTGAGCCTACAGTATGATCATATGGCATTTGCAATTCCTGCAGGCTCCCGAACGAAAGCCACCGAGCCGTGCAGTCAACTTTTTGCAAGCTGGAGTTTTGGTGTAGACTTCCAGACCCAGGCATCTCGAAAGCCCTAGAAACTTCTCAAGAAGTGAAGGCGCAGGAGATCGGAGCAGTGACTTGTAACTTTAACAGCATTATGTGATTCCTGCTCTTCATGCTCTGCAGGCCAAGAAGCCAGAGAAGCCCGAGAAGCCGGAGAAGCTCGAGAAGGCCACAGAAAAGGAAGCCAAAGCCAGGAGGAAACAGGCTGAGACTCGGGATGCTCGGACTCCTTGTCAAGAGCTCAGTGGAAACGCCTCAGAGCCGGCTTGAGCCGTGGCCAGTGCTGCATGGTGTTCAAGTCCCCGAGGCCCTGTCCAAAAGGTTGCTGCGCCAGCTGCGCCTGCTGCGGCTCCTCCAAGAGAAGCCAAGGCCAAGAGCTCATCCACTGGGTCTCGCTGAAATAGTTTTTGATGCTCCAGGCGAAGGACGGAGCGAGAAGTCTCCGACTCGGCGCTGTCTTTGCATCCCACGTTAGCTCATGGGCTGAAGAGTCCAGGACCGGGTTCCAGACAAGCCTCGAAGCTTTCCCCGTTGGACGCGAAGGACTCTAAGGAGGTCTGCAGGAATCCTTTTGGATCCTTGATATCCACTGGTTTCTGATATTTTCTGATGTACTCAGGTGCCTCAGGTGCCCAAGGAGAAGGACCAAGGCTCCGGATGCGCCGCGCCCGGACGAAGCTCGATGCCACGCCGTCTCTGCCAGGCAAACAAGCAGAACACAAAGTTGACTGTCAGGAGGCCAGGATCCGCAAAGCCGACCAGCTTCGCTTCGCTGGTTAGATGCCCTGAAGTTGCAGGTGGCGGCGGAGAAATGCACGTCAAGTGCACGAACCGGAGTGCAGCGGGATGCCATGCACTTTAGCTGTTCCAGGTGGATGTGCCATATGTGCTCAGGTCCGATCTTCCAAGAGATGTGCATGAACTGTCGCGGGCTGGGCTGTCCATACTGCCAGGGCAAGTCAAGACCTTTTGAAGCCGCAGTCTGCTCCCTTTGGGGGTCAAGGCCTTCCCCGTCTCCTTTGTATAAGGCAGCGATTGCCGCAGGGTCCTTGGAGTGTGCTCTGTGAGAATCATGAAGGCTGGCACGTCGGTTTCGATGACAGGTCATAAAGGCAAGCGCTGTAGCAGCTGCCGTAGAGATTGAAGCCAAGTGCTTCGTACAGCTGAAACCTTGGCATCCCACAGGCCTCATCCTATGTCCCATGATGTCGCATGCGATCAGGTCGACAGCGCTGGAGGACCCTTCGTGCGGCAGTGTCACTTCCTAGCCCGTACTCAGCGTGCTTGTGTTTGAGAGCTTCCTTTGTTTGCTTCAGTCTTTTTTCCGTCTCGGCGCTTCTGCAGCAATGCGGCCAGGAATCTGAAGGTTCTACCGAGGGTGGCAATGCTCCAAACGAGGACGAAATCGCCCAATCGGAGAGCGAGGCTCCGGGTGTCCCATGAAGCTGTGCAGAAAATTGAAGCCAGAGCTTGTGTTGAAGCTGCACAGGACTGCGACAACCGCGGGTCCTTGAGGTACGAGCCCCGGAATTGATGCAGCATGTAAATCTGATCAGGCCTTCGGTGCCTTGGACAGAGGAGCAAAACTTCGCACCAGCTGTGCACTTGCCTGTAGGGAAGTTGGCGGGGAGGGGGAGGACGTGGGCTTGGGGGCTTCAAGGGGCTCTATGGCGCTCTTCTGTGGGCTACTGCTCCCAAAGATTCGCTATTCTTCATTGGAGGTCCAGTTTGTGCACAGATTTTCATGTTTTCCTTGAGGTTGGCTTCTAGGATGCACTTTTTTCGGGCTCTCCCCTCATAGCTTCTGGCTCGTGGTTTTCTTTGGCATTGGCTTCTACTGACTCCGAACATTACTACTTTTATGCCAAACGTTGATGTTATTTCTTTTGTATGGTCCTGGTGATCACGGACATTAATTTTGCTTCTTGCGCTCAGGATGATTCGTACTCCCACGACTTGGTAACTTTTTAAAAGCTGTCTTGTCATCGTTTTCAGATACGTTTCGGTCGTTCTTGTCTGCGCTAGCTTATTGCCTCTAGCCAGCGTGGTCGGCGTTCCCCGACAGATCAAGAGCTAACACTGGGGGCCGCGTGGAGGAAAGTGTTTGATGTGCCACACGGCGGCCGCAGCCGGGTGGTGTGGTTTGTGTGTGGAGCGTTCTGGCGATTTCGCTCAAAATCGCATCCCTGCTGCAGGTTCAGGAAGTCCGTGAGTTGGTAAAGAGCGTCATAACAATTTCGGCTCGACATCGTGCTTCAACCACAGTTCCGTGAGTGTGCTCAATGCGAAGTGCAGAGCACTCGTGACTTTGGGAGACTCAATTTCGCCATCCTGGTAAACTGTCAAATTCTTTGCATGCTTCCACAGCTGACGCGTGCAGAATTTGGGCGCGAAAACGCGCTCAACATGATGATCGTCGGAACTGTCGTTGCGGTTGCGGCTGCGGCGCTCTGTGCATTGCTTTTGGGGTGCCCAGGAGGATGTTCACAAAGGCATGACCGACTATCATGTGGTCACCATATTTTTTTACAGAGGAGTAGGAATCGGAATGCTGATGCAAATGCTAGGAACGAAAATGGGCAATGGATAAGCATCAAGTCTTGAGGCCGAACACTGCAGCTGCGGCTGCTGCTATCCTGGCCGCCGCTGCCCTCAGAAAGCTGCAAACTTTGTCTGGAAGGAATTGGTCAGGGGTTTGTGGATGCTGTCGGAATTGTAAACAACCTCTCAAACGAGAAAAGGTTTGAGGTTCTCATGGTTCTACTACATGCACAAGGGTGCCTCGAGTCGAGTCGATTGAGACACTCACTCACCCGCAGGCTGCTATGTACTGAGTTGACCCATCCACCCGCCCCTTGATATGGTTCTGCAAGTCCTATACCCCTCGAGCAAAATTGGCTACGCACCAACCTTGTCATGGTTATCCGTTTTGGATCCTCAGCGACCTTTTATAAGGTCTCATATAATGTATCATAAGACGGTGTTCGAGCGGAATCTGCGGGCGCTCGGCGTCAGATACGGCGATACACCAATACAAGGATCTCTCGCTGTTGCGCGGGCACCCCGACACAGCAGTAGTACGCCGTTACGCTGATACCCGCCGCAACGAGCATGATGGGTCGAGCCGGCACAACCTTTGTGAGCAGCATAACTGGGTACACTGCATAGCTGGCACAGCTGGCATACTGCCGCCGTGCTCCGCGCAACCGGCTGAACTGGCACATGGCGGTGGAACCCGCATCAGTATCATAAGTGCCGCCAGCAGCGGAGCCAGCAGAAATTGCACAGCGGGCGTAGCTGTAATGGTGTGGAGCGACCTCGAGCCACGCATTACACTTATGCTCGGAGATACGCAGAGAATATGACATCACGGGGAAGGCGTGCGTCTGACCTATTTAAGAATGACTTCAAATCTCAATAATACCTTTTGTCCTTTCTTGATTGTCTTTTGTGGACGACGCTGGTCCACCCAACATTCCCCACAGTTTGGAAGGCAACCCCCACTATGATTCTCTCCTTGTATGCTAGCCGGAAGGACCTAAAGTTCTTTTAATGTTGCGCACAGGTCTTAGATTCTTGTTACACCGCCTCTTATCTGCATGACACCTCATATGTACTTTTGTCTTGACTCCTTAAAGGGGTTATAGAGGGGCTTATATGGGGGAGTGTTATAGTTACAGGGGTTGTTAAGGGGACGGGTGCTTAGCAACACTTGCCCGGATATTACGCGGATATTTTTACACGAATCTTGAAGGTAAGATACGTATACCGTATACCATAGGCTAGTATAGTATACTATAGTATAGTATACTAAGCTATATACCATACTAGGTATAGTATAGTATACGATAAAATACATACTAGGGGCACCTGCATCTTTCACTTGGCATCGCAAGGCCGCTACAGATAAGCGAGCGGCTGCTCTTGAGTTACTAGACGTGTCGGCCTCGTTGGATCATGTTGGTTGTTTTCTGGGGCTTATTTAGGGGGTCATATAGGGTTCAGGGGGTCCCGCAAGGGTATGCCCCGCATGTGGGCATTCCTTGTATGATGGCACTCTAAAGGGACCCTTTTTGGAAACACCTATGCGCAGGATTGAAAGTGGAAATTCTTGTTTAGCTCAGACAGTTCAGGCAGCTGCGATGCCGACCATCGAAGTGCGGACGTTCTTATCCGAGCTGGACATTGAGGCTTTGAATCAGAGCTGGTAGTTTCCAAAATAGTATCATAGGGACCCCCAAAAAGGTACACCAAATTTTGGAAAACCCCCAGCTGTTGGTGAAGTTCCCTTCTTGAGATTGCTCTGTTCAGCCATGGTTCAGCGTAGATGGCTGCGCTCAGTGATCTTGCTTACACCAAGAACTGTGTGTGTGTGGCCTCATACAATAGTAATACCATGGTATATTCTGATATACTGTCGTGAATTAGTATACTAGAGCATCTTCTAATATACTAAAGTATACTATGGTATTATACAATATACTGTAGTATACTATAGTATAACTATCTTGCCAGGCTCCCGTTATGAGAAGAACAGTGAGTGACAGCGACCTTGCCCGTGCTGATCTCAGAGAAGTAATTCTATTTAACCCTAAGCGAGATGAATTGGAGGAGTCGTATAGGGCTCCAATTAAGTGGAGACCCTAGGGGAGGGTAGTATAGAAGGAGGTGGTTAACTTCCTAGCCGCAACTTTGATGAGCTTTGTTGTTGCCGAGTCTACTGCTGAAGCCGACCTGAGCGCGCGTGGAGCTCCAGACAAATTGGGTTGCCTAAAGCGGCACTCAAACGCAACTGAAGGCTGCGGGCCGCCTCCCGGACCGGGCTCCCTTGGAGCCTTTGCGGCCGAAGACCCCACCATAGTTTCAAGGGTCCGGTGTGAACGTGCCGCAGACTTTGTTGAGTCTCTGCATGATGCCCTATGAGCACAACTCTCGTGCAGATATTATTTGCGCCCTTTTGTACAAGGCTATGAACATGTCGGCATCTTTCAAGAGTGAAGTCCGAACAGGCTTCACTAGGCAGTGCGTCTGCAACTTCCTCTCTAATTGTGGGGGGGGCTTCCCTCCACCGACCTTGATGGTCAAGCCTAGTTCGCACCTACTACCATGCACAAAAACAGATAATTCAATAATAGCGTTGAACTATGGAGTCCTCTTGTGCCTGGTTGAACGCACAGGATGTGGTCTATAAATGCGTTGAAGTTGTGGTGTGCTGTTCAGTTTTGGCCACATAGGCCTTCTGCCATCAGAGTGGGAGTTCAGTTCATCTGCCAGGGTCCCCAAAGCTGCTGAGGAAGGTGAACTCCTGCTGAGGCCATCCAGGATGATCTTTTCATTTTCGCTATGCAAAAAATGCGCGCGGCAGCATTCAGGCGGCCGGTGTCCCTTGTCTGATAGAAGGTAAACGTCTTGTATGCGCTGTCTTTCAGCTGGAGACTCCTTGAGTCCAGCGCTGCGAGCCCCATCTTCAAAGCCTGAGCCGTGCTACTTCCAAGCTGAGCATGTTGGTCTTTTTGAATGTACCAACCACTGCTCGGAGCTCTCGGCTGCCTTGGAGGGAAGAAGATAAAACAGGAGCTGCTCTGATTGGAATAGTGCACTGCGGCACTGCATATTCCTTCGCAAAAATTCATGTGTGCTTCTGCAGCGTGCGCTCATGGCTCTCAACTTCTGCCCAACTCCCATGACGTTGGGCAGGAGGACATTCCATAGCCAAGATGCAAGTGGAGCAAGCACTTGAGCTTCAGCTTTGCGGTAGAGGAAGGTGTTGAGAGTAGGTGCTGCTCACACATAGAAATCATGTAGTTGTGAACATTGTGAGTCGACGGTTTCTTCATCAATTAGGACACAAGCGATGCTCTAGCGGAAGCGTTCGCAAGACGGCCAACGGGCCGCCTACAGAGTCTTTCAGCCCCTAGTCTCCAATCACAAGAATGGGATCATAGCAGGGAGCAGGACCGATGGTTTTTTCCGGAGGATCCCTCGGTTTTTTCCCTTGAACGGTGTCATGTTCTCCATTTGCTGCACGTCAAGATCGGCCGAGAAGGTGCGCTGTCTTTTTAACTCTTGTGGCTAACGGCTATCCTCATAAGAACCGTGCGTAAGTTGACAGTGCATTGGGGGTTTTTAGACTTGAGTCTGTTGGAACATTCATGTGGAATTAACAGTTCAGCGTAGCTGTTCGTTGGGATGGGGGAAGGGCATGGCGTCAAATGTTCATGTCCTGAAGCTTGGGGGCTGGTGGATGGCGCAGTGGGCTCTACCCTCGTCACCTGACCTATCCAGACTTTGCATCCTTAACATCACACCCACCCACCTGAGGTTCCGAACATTGCGCCCTGCGCCCATATCAAACCCCGAGTATGCGGCCTTTCACCTGGCATGCAGGCCAAAGAGAGCTCTTTCGACAAACTTTTGCTGGACGGTTTCTCTTGGGTGGCGAGCAAGGGCCTGCTGCGCCGAACTCAGAGCGACTGTTCCAGGGCAGCCCTGACCCACCAGGGGTTGCAAGTTGGTACCGGCAAAACAGAGTTCGTGGACATTTTGATGAACATGTAAGACTTTTGAAGAGTTTGATGAATCGATGAATGAATATTAGAGGTCCGAGGGGGGGTGTGATGTTCATGTTCGCCCTTTCACAGCAGTTGTCGGAGATGGGGAACCAGGAGATCCCAGACCTCCAGCATCGTGCGCCGCACGGTGGAGGATGCCAAGCTCTTCTATGTAACAGTGATTGCAGCTGGTAGATGAGTTCTTGGCAGGGCAAGATGGGCCTGGTCCTCCAGTACTCGCCGGAGCACTTCGCGAACAAGCGAGAAAGCTCTGGCCCGGCTCTTCAGAATTGTGTCCATTCTCGTGATGTCCAGTCACAACTAGCTGTACCGCTGAAGTTTTGGACTTGCTTGCGTCCCACGCCAGTTATTGAAGCGCAAAGTGCGAGGTGCCTGTGTCATACCCGTGATTTTTCAATCCATGAAACTGAAATGCACGGGAGAATCAAGCATTCGGATGAAAACCTCAAATTGGGCACCAAACGTTCACAAGCCGTGGGAATGATATGGATGCAAGAGAACGGCACTCGCAGGACCTCTTGGTCTGCAACCCGCAGATGGCGGGCCAGTCGTGTTCTGCCAGAAGTCGATGCATAGGGAAGCTACACCCACACGTACTCGTAAGACGCATGAGAGTTTACGGCCTCATCTGGAATTTTGTCAAGTCCCCTCGGAGTTCTCAATTATCATACTTGCACACGCTGAACTTGATGCAAACAGTTTGTTCAATTGGTGCACGAATTAATTGCTTGCTTCATCGCTCAAGCGCTGCATGTCCTTGGGGAATCCTGAGAAAGTTTGATGCTAAACGTGTCCGACAATGCTGCTACTCTGCGTTCATGCGTCATCACCCATGACAGCATACGATCACATCACGGGGATCAGTCCCAAGCGGTTCGCCAGCAATGGCAGGCAGCGCATGATGCCCCATGATCCGGGATTCCCCCGCGGTCTGTACTATACATATAAGCCTAAAATTCGACGTTGTGCGAAATATCTTGTCACGATCAAGCCTCAATCAATGGAATTTCTTCAGACCTGTCGCTCTGCCAGGGTGAGCTCGTTTTGTTGTGGCAAGTGCGTGTCTTGGGGAATGAGACAAACTAAAGAGACGACAAGAAACAAGTCTCGGTCGCATTGTTCGATGCGTTGGACTAGATGCCTCCCTATTCGCAGGTAAGAAGCTAACGCCAAGGCTTAGCATGGTGGTTTGAGCGTTGTGTAGTCTCTGTGTGTGTAAGCGCCGAATGCTTAGCGAGAGTGCTACAACCAATGTCTAATCAATCTTGAGCACAATATTGTACTTGTATGTGAGCTCCAAATGCATGGTTTAGGATACTTGATGTGTGTCATATTTGACCTTGAAGGCCCATGCATGTACTGGGGGAAGGATGGTCGTTGACGTGACTTAATCGGCCCTTTGGATCAGCACGCAGAGCAATGCAGCAGATGGATCTAAACAATCCTGCTACTTTGTGCTGGCCCTGTAGTGATGGCCAAATGTTAGAGACCATCTCTCTCCAACGAGCTGCCTCGCAGCGACACTCGCCAGGGCGCGTCATCCGCACTCACTACGTTTCAGGAAGCTAGGTAAGCGAGTTAGTCACTGAGCTTTTCCTTCCGTTTGCCCGCCATCAGGTAGCACCCCATTGCAGGTTCACGACGCATGCTATGTTTTCTTGGGGCTAGAATGGCTACAAGCTCCGTTGAAGCTGGTGACGTTGTCGACAAGTTGTTCTGCTTGTAATGCAGTAACATGAAAGTGAGAAGACATTCGGCTTCAATCTTTCAAGAGCAAAATCGCACTTTGAGTGCAAGACGCCAACGCGTGCGTCAACCTGCTTTGCATGGCTTTGAACGGACTGGACACGCCTGATGCAGGAATTTGCTGAAATCACGAACATTATGAACTTCTTCCCACACAGTGCTTGAGTGCTGTGTAGGTAGTTTAGGGAAGGCAAACCAATGACTTACCCAAGTCTAAGAACAGCGGGAAAATCATGGGCAGCTTCTTGAGGTTTTTGTTTTTTTTTGGAGTTGGCAGATGTGGCACCGATGCATTGTGGACTCTTCCGTAAAACTCGCTGATCGCCGGCAGTTTCTGAACGTGTGGGCACTGTCTTGGCGTCGTGTCAGGGGAACATGTACTCAGGTTGACGGGAGGCATATGTTTTTCAGGATATTGTGTTCGATCTTTTTTGTTTCCTGCATTTCTGCTGGTTGCTTCTTGCTTTCGGGTTTTCGCCTCTGGCTTTTTGCCTTCTGCTTTTGTTTTCTGCTTGTAGCTTTCTGCCTGTTGCTTCTTGTTTCTTGCTTGCTGCTTCTTGCTTTCTCTTTCTTATCTTTCTTGCTTCTTACTTTTTGCTGCCAGTTTTTTGCTTTCTGTTTCTTGCTGCCTGCGATCTCCTGAGTGCTCATTGCTCTCCATTTCAGCTTCCTGATGCTCGTTGACTGCGCTCAGCTTCCCGATCGCTGCTATATGCGATGATTAAACAATTGCCTCTTGCTTCTTTATTTCTGCTTAGAACTTGCCGTTTTCCATTATGTGTCATGAATCTTCATCATGTTCAGCAGCTTCAGATTTTCCATCCCCTTTCAGCAGTTGCCATAAAAATCTTTTATCATTTTCAATAAACTTCATGACTGTTCATCCATTTCATATGGTTTACTCATTCTCCATCCTTCCTCATAAATTTCCATGCTCTTCATGGGTTTTCATAGTCTTTCAGTAGTTTCTCCATCATCTTTCATCGCCTTTTTCCTTGTTGTTTGCAGAAGGGGGGGGGGGGCCCCTATCCCCCCACGCCTTTTTAAGGCCATCAGTGCTTGCTGTAACAAAGGAGCACCATGTCATCACCGTGTTTGCAGTGAGGAATGCTTATACAGGTTTGCGCATGGGAGGGGCTGTCCCCAGCCCCCACCCCTTCTATTGAAGCTATCCACGCTTGCCGTGTCACAGAAGCGCCGTGTCATCACCATGGGGGACGGATACACAGATCATTTTGTTTGCAAATGGGAGGGGGTTCGCCCCCCGCCTTTTTTCAAGGCCATTCATGCTTGACCACTGTTCATCATTTTAGACCATTTCATGATTTTTCATGATGTTCATCATTGCTCTTCATTTTTGATGTTTTGATGTTTTTCACAACTCTTGTTGCATCGTTTTCTATCGTCTTTCAGCAGTTTCCATGATGTGCCATAATTTCAATTTTTTCAACACTCTCACGATTTTTCTATGATGTTCAACATTTTTTATGACTTCATGTTTTCATGATTGACTCACAATTGTCATGATTGTTCATGATTCTTTACAGTTTTCATGACGTCCTCATGATTTTTAACATTTTCATGATTTTTCACCATTTTAAATTGTTTGTCACAGTCTGTAAATTTCTACATTTTTGAATGTGAAATCGAGCTCTCACCCGAGACTTGCTAAAAACACAAGAGAAAACAACAACCTCAAAACACAGAACACAATTTCCAAAATTATAAACGCTATCGCGCGCCCGCCTCGGCTGGCGGGGCACGGAGCACACGAATAGGTCATGGCATGTAGTTGACACGTGGGGTTTAGGGTCAATGGAGTAACGGAGGCAAGCCTCAC